TCAGCCGGTTTTCGAGCTCCAAGATGCAGCGACCAGCTCGCTCGACCTCCGCCTCCTTCTCTAGCAGCTTGTTTCCAGCTGCTTCGAGTAAAGTGCAGTAGTGCCGCTGACGTCTCTTTGCAAATTCTCGCCGGAGTTGCTCCGTCTGATTCGCGAGAGAAATAGATGAATATAATTGGGAATCCTTGTGTTTCCCTCTACCAGTGGAGTGGAGTGGAAAGAAAATTAAAATATTACCTGAGCAGTGATGAACCCATCAATTTCGTTATCCTCTTTGTTAATCAGGGCGGCAATCTCTTCTGAGAAAGAAGCCGTGAGGAGGGAATCGGGTTGTTCTTCTTTGATCCGGTTGTTCGTTTGCTCGGCTAAGGCGAGGTGGAGACCGGTAGATACAAATGGAATCGTCTGCGATCGTGCCGACGAGGGATCGAATACTGCAGGCGACTGTAATGGGAAGGGAATCTGCTGCTGCGATGGCGCTGCAGACGGCGTCGCCTCTTTTGCTCTCTTCCACCGGTTTATATTTTCTGCAACACCTCTTCTCAGTAAACAATAAAAAAAAGAAAAGAATCGGAAAGGGGAAAAAGCGAAAAAAGTCACACCTCCATTGGAGGAGAAGAAGAGATGGGATTGGTCGAACAAAGGAGGGGCCATCTCCCCGTCATTCATCTCACTCTCATCTCTGCGCATCGCGGAGCCCAAAAACTCAGTCGGGAGTCGGGAGATCAAAAGGAAGAAGATAGATCAAGCGAGTGATACCTGCTGTGAAACAAAACGTTGGATGGGTAATGCGCTCGCACGGCCATTGTCGAGGCTGGTTGGTGGAAGTGGAAGGAAGATATGCAGAGCGGAGAAAGAAGAAAGAAGGCGAGTGAGGGGGAAGGAGGAGAAGACTAGTTTTTCTAAGCGTTGGAGGTCGTGTTCGTAGCTTGGCGTTCTTGCGCGCGCGCCCATCCATCCATTCAAGGAAGAAAGAACGCGGACGAAGGAAACGTCGGTCCTAAGAGACCACACCTTCCTCTCCTCGCCTTTTTGATTTGTGCTGCTCACTCGATAACCAGATGGCGCGTGAGATGTGCTTCATCTAAAATAAATAAATAAATAAATTTTAAATTTTAAATTTAAATGACATTTCTGTTTTAAGTCGTAATTATATAAATGTAGAAAATTTATATACATACCCCATAATTTTTATGTATTTATATATCTGAAATTTAAAATTTGCTACATTTATATTTATAGTATTTTGATGTTATAAACTCAACTATATGATGAAATTAAAAATTATGATAATTTTTTTAGGATAACATTTTTAGTGATATGTATGTAAATATAAAAACTTATGTGTTGGATATGTAAAAAGGTATGAATTCTGCGGTATGTTTATAGAGGCCCTTATTTAAGACTTGGCTTTTCATCAAATGAATTATTAGTTGGATGATTTACATAGATATCACTCAATTTCTTTGTATTTACATATCTAACATGTATACTTTAATATTTTACATACATCTCACATTTCAATGCATGAAAATGTGCCGTATTTTTTATTAGACAGGAAATATTTGGGTGAAATAAATGTAAGAAATTAAAGTATAGGTGTTAGATGTGTAAATACATAAGAATTTGGTGTTATGTACGTAAACGCCCTTAATTTTTCTACATTAATTTCTCAAAATTCATGCTCATATTTAAAAAGTGAAAATTTCAATGTTATATATGTAATTCCACTTTTTAAATCATGTCAGGTTTAACCTTTTGAATGGTATTAAATCAATTTAAATTGTTGAAAGAAAAACCGAAAGAAGCTGAAAAAACTGTAGATAATCCTAGTTATTAAGCGGCTTCAGCTGGCCCGAAATCCCGCTTAAGCCCTAAATCAAGCAAATCGGGGCTTATGTTGGGCAGCTTTAAAATTTAGCCTCTTTAATTGTTTAAAAAATAATTTATATTATAAAAAAACATATAATATTTTGCTCAAATGCGTAAGCATATTGATTAGAAATATAACACGCAATCAATTGATTTGTAACAAACACATTATTGATATATCTTATTAAAATGTAATCAGTTGATAAATTACATTCTCACACATATTGGGCACAAATCATGTTCATTGTGGGTTAAATGAAGTACTGGTGATATGTATCTAGATGAAGTATATATGGGAGTCAATGAGTTTCAAACTTTTGACTTTTAGATGAAATGTCCAACCACTGAGCCATCATCTCATTTATACTTAAAGTATATTTTGCAAATTATAGCAAACCATTTAGGTCTAATGTCACCCAATATATGAAGTGAGAGTTTTAAGTTTTGTACAATTAGGCAATATAATCTGGGTCTAATGTCAGTTCCACAATCAGAGTTATGGCGTCGTTTATGAAAAAGTAGGGCTCAGCTAGGCCCGCAAGACTAGCTAGCGTGCATGGGCCCACAAAAGATCATTTATTGGGATACAACCTTCTAGGCCATCAAATATATTTAATTTTTTATGAATGTGTTAACA